AACCCCCAGGAAGAGAAGAAGTTAATTAAAAAATAAAATAAAAAAAAACATGGCAGATCGCAGAATCAAGTGACAAATCACTTTAATCCCACTTCCCCTCGTCTCCACTACCAGCACCAACCCCCTCACAACTGGCGATCCCTGAGCTAGGATGCACCTGTGCAGGGGAGATAAGGCCCTCTGAGGGCCCTTCATTGTTCCACACTTGACTGCATTGTTTGTCATTCCAACAGAGGAGAATGGAGGCTGGAGTGGATCACAACTGGAAAATGCACAAGACAGACTAACACAGGCACTGAAAACACTCAATATGCAGTTGTTTCTTAAAATGGGAAATTCTGCTTTTGATTGAGTAAAGTAATTTAGTGAACACTGATCATGAAAGTATCAAAAAAGATCTAATGTGTGAGACATGGCAAATAATGATATTAAATATGTAGATTGTTTTGATGATGTTTGCTTGACAACTACAAAGCAGATGAAAAACGACTTCATTGGCTTGTGTGATGCCATTATGAATGCACAAAGCTACATTTGGTATCCGATTTAACGCCTATTGATGGCTGGTGAATTGAAAAATTCTTGCAAGTAGGGCTGCAACAAATTTTTATTTTTATTGCCTGTTCATCTACTGATTAATTTCTTGAGTAATCTATTTGTCTGTAAAATGTCAGCACAAGGTGGCATCTTCAAATGTCTTGTTTTATGAGTCAAAACTCCAAAGATCCTGAATTTACTATCATAGAAGAGTAAGAAAACTTGACTTTACTATCAGAAAAACTGAAAATATATGAGAAGTTGGAACCAGAATGTTTTCGCTATTTTAAATTTTGTTTAGGTTTTAAATCTCTCAGTTGCCTACTGTTTCATCTCAAATTGCAAGATCTCTGACATTTGCATGCATGATGAGCCAGTGAGGAACTCCCGGATCTTCCTCTGTTTCTGTCACAATATGACAGCATGACTACACCCTGAACAGAAATGAGTGCATGCGCAAGTACGTGCTTGTTTAACGTGCTTGTATGTTCAATATTTTTCTTCTTACTCTGATGTCATTGCGTCGCAGCTCCACGTCAGCGACTGTGTGGCCATGGCTGGGGTGGCATCGGGCGAAGCAGCAGTACTGACACACCGCTGTCTGCTCAGCCTCACAGTGGTAAAGCCTGTACTCGTCGTGCTGCGGGCAGGTCCACGCCTTCACCGCCTCCGCCTCCACCAACAGGTGCCCCAGGGCTGAGCATGGTTGCTGCAGGTGTGTCTGGACGTGGGACTGGCAGCACGGGGCATTGCAGCGCAGGCAGACTTTCACTGCAGGGAGCGGTGGGCCTCGGCGGCACAGGATGCACTGCAGCGCTGGCGTGGTGGCCTTTTCCACACTCAGGGCGTTGTATTTCTCAACTATGTTGGACAGTTTGTGGTTCTTCTCCAGGCTGGGCTTCTGCGTGTAAGCATGATTGCACTCGGGGCAGCGGGCCAGTGAGGAGTCTTTGGCCCAGGCCTCGCTGATGCAGCCCCGGCAAAAGTTGTGCTTGCAGGGCAGCTGGATGGGATCTGAGAACACGTGCAGGCAGATGGGGCAGATGAGCTCCTCCTCAAAACAGTTCCTCCACGTCTCAGCCATGTCAGAAGCCATCATGATGCAGGAAGGCATACACTAACTGTTCTCTGCTTCTTCCAGACCTCTAGGCCTCTGTCTCAGCACAGGAAACACAACACTCTGAAAATGAGTTTTGTGGAAAAGATAAAACCAGAGCTGATGCTGTCCTGAAAGATCAGTCCGTATATTTAAACCCTTGTGACCAAATCAGATGAGTCTCCCTGACAGATGACAGGTATTGCTTATTGCTGCAGCAGGAAGGCAAAATCCAGAAAACTGCCCAGAGAAGGCTTCAAGCGGGGATGACAACACCTTGGTGATTTCCACACACAGCAGGGGCTGACGTTACACAGATTACAGTAAACGGTGCTTTCCTTTCCTCTAAATCACTCACTCACACTCACACACACACACACACACACACACCAGACCTCCCTTTACAGCTTGTGTTTATAGGCCTACAGGAAGCTACAAACCTGTCAGCTACAGGTAAACCATAAAATGAAAACAAGGCACAGAGAACTAAACATCTACACAATCACTCACAGGATCATGACGTGAACCAATCTCTACATGTAAAGACACTTGATCCTTGTCTGCTCGGGCCCTTAGCTTCTTCCTTCACATCTGCCTGTGGACCAATTCAGACAAACAACCGAAGCATGAAGAGCATGAAAAAAAGAATGCTCCGGTCCACACCCTGATTACTATTCACACAGTTTTTTTTTAAACCTGAATCTGTTTTATAAGGACCTCAAGGACGCTTGAGTCTGAATAATCACAACGCAGCGCAATGCTTTTGTCCGCTGAATCATAAATAAGGATCCGAGGAGCCTCCACCGGCGATTTAATTGAACATACAACCCACGACGGTTTGGCAGTAGACAAGAAATACTGTCTTATAGTTCAGATTAACAACACGCGTCCCTCCAGCCCTTCAATTTGACATAAACGCGACCTTTCTGTTTGATGAATAACGCCTGCTATGTGGCACGGCTCGCATATCTGTACACAAGGCCTCGGCTTTTCTTTTCTACCAGTTTCTGTCGACAACAAAGGCTTTATAATCCTACTAAACTGAAAACCATACCCGGGCCATCATTTCGAGGCTGTTTACTGCATAGTTAATCGTTTAAATAGTCGAGTCCAGCTCCTGCGCACAAAACAAAGGGGTTTAAGGATCCGCAGGAATGTTGGTTGCTGTTGCGGAGCCTTTTGCTTTCCCCCCTCCGACACATCTATCAAATGACCCAAAGATTTTTAGTATTTTTTTCAGCCCTGGCCTCTTTTTACTTCGTGTCCACCTATTGACGCCTCATCTTGTAGCCAACAACATATTTACCTACTTCCTTATCTCGATTAAATCGTGCAAATTACCTCAGACGTCACCTCACCATTTTCTACCACAGCACAGGTACAGATAAACGCTAGACTGGCACCATTTCCCGACAAGGACGGTCGTTGCTAATATACTCTCTAGTCATTACTTATTAAAAGCAGTCATATTTATATACTTAGCTAATAAAATACAAAAATATACCCTGCTAATCTTAAAGGGGACGTCGCTTTTCTGTCCTTGTTAGCTGTCATCAGCCATTTTGCAAATCCTCATTTTAAAAAAAGGAGATATCCGCCGTGGAAAGGTTGAGACTGTTTCACCAGAGCTGCTTTTCGGTAGCTGACCTACACAGGCACATCAACGCAAAGTCCCGTCGTTGTAAAAGAAAATCACGCCTTTTTATCCGCGTCTCAGGTCCGAAGCAGCAGTCCTGACACGGTTATTTTTTGACCTGATGTGGTCGGTGCGTCCGGTGCGAGTCAGTGTAACATAAAAATCCAACACGGTCGTGAATAATAATTTGTTTTCTCCCCCTCCTTCCTTTCTCTGTCTCTATCGGTCAGGCTTTAGAGACAGGAGGAATGCAGGCTGGACTGCTCCTCAAACCAGTCAAGAAAACCAATATTACATGACACTTCTGGTTAAGCTTTTCAAAATAAAGAGCAAACCCTGCGGTCATAAATGGAAGGGTTGTGAATAGTTGGGTCCTTGGGCACAGATAGGTAAAAGCCCCCTACCTCTCCTAGACCAGGACATTACTTTGCTGGTTCATCTACATTCGTATTTTCATAGTAATTCAAGTAGTTAAATTACTTTTTACCACTCTTTAACTCATAAGTTATGTACTGAAACTACAACCAGTCTCAGGCCATAAAGGAAAGGAATGATTTTTTTATTTGTGTTTTGTCATGCTGCATGTAAGCAGCTTTTTAACACTGGCAGAGACATTTTCAGTACCAAATAGAACCACTTGTTGGATAAGAACTTTAAGAGACAGCTCGTGTCATATAAACAAGAGATTATGCTCTGACAAGTAAAAAGATGGGGCCATTATTTAGACCAGTGTTCAAGCTGTTCATACTGTCTAAAAAGGCACAAGATCACTGACTGTACAAGTCCGATAAGCGCGACAACAGGCACATTTTTAGACCAGGTTTGTAGTTTTGCATCACTGTGGCCTTTTTACCTCTTTGTAGTCATCTCTGCATCTCTCTGTGCCACTTACACCAAAGTGGCACGTCAAATGTCACTTTCTGATCTCGGCGCTAGTGCATATCTGCCACAGTAATGCTGTCTGGGGTTACTTTTTAAACAAAAAATATACTAACAGTTCCTTCACAGAGGCTCTGTCACCCTGAGAAACAATTCCCTGTCAGTACAGTGAAAAAGCTCAGTAGTAATTTGAACAGGACAACAATTAATTATTGTGGTTTTAAGGGTTTTTGGAGATATCTTGATAAACAATAAGACACAGTTCTTTCCATCCAAATTTTGGCTTATATCTGTGACTCAGTGCAAGTGCAAAAATCTCAAACCCTTAAAAACAATGATGTAGCGACTGCAAGCTAAAGCCAAGTAGAACGTGTTTTTATTTTGAAACGTAGTCGCAGAGCTTCCTGTATGATTGTAGCTGTCTTCAGTTGACCTGACATATGAGCAGCACCGCCACCCTCCCCCCTCCCTCCTTCCGGATCAACACTACGGCCGTCACGTGACCTGTCACACAACTGGCCTGTGTCACGTTTTAACCGGGAGGAGCTGAACAGAACCGGGAAGGAAGGACAGGGAGTCATATAATACTTACCGGGTTTATTGTGGCAATGGTTTGCACGTCCATCGTGTTCCTCTGGGGCAACACAGTGGTGTATGTGTGTTTCTGGAGTTAACAGAGTTCAGAAAGTATTCAGACCCATTCACCTTTTACACTTTATTGTTGTAGACATTGATTACTGTTGTGTTGTAGATGGGTTATGGTATTATCATTTTGCTCTTTTAGTAATATCAGTATTGTCAAATTACTTAACGATCCCAGTGGGCATGGGCCCAGGGGGGTCAGGGGGCCCCAAGACCAGAGAGCCAAGAAGGGACTGTTAAGCTTTCCATTGGAATGTCAATCAAATGACTACAAACTGCTACGAAATGAGAAAAATGGATGAGGAATAACAATAAACAAACATAAAATGATTTAAAAAGACCCCAAACACAGCAAACCAATTACAAAAATATGACAAGCTACAAAAAAGGACACAAAACAATAATGGAGGGATGTAAAACAATACAAAATAGACACACAGAAGTAAAAATAAGTGCTAAATGACTGCAGAGGGATGCCAAATGAATAAAACAGCACAAAATGGCTACATAATGATACTATCATAATCCATCTATGAGAGCAGATTGTTTTAAATGCATAAAATAGCCATTTTTTGCCCATAAATCTAACTCAATATCTACAGTGAAAACATGTTTTAGACGTTTTTGCAAATGTATTAAAAATAAAAAAACTGAAATCTTTCATTTCCAAAGTATTCACACCCTTTGCCATGACACTGCAGATTGTTGCCAGGTGCATCTTGTGTGTTTTAATTATTTTGAGATGTGTCTAGAACTTGACCGGAGTCCAACTGAATTGATCGGACACAGCTCACACAGCTTGTCAGGACAAAACCAAGACATGAAGTCCAAGGAGCTCTCTGTCAACATCTGTGATAAAACTGTGACCAGACATACGTAGATCAGCACAACGGTATAAAATCACCATGAAGCTCTGAATGTTCTCAGGAGACCAGTGGGCTCAGTAACTGTTAAAACTATGTTTTCAGCCATCCAGCCCAACTAAGTAACCAGGCAAGAGGAGACCAAGAACATGATGAGATTATGACATTCACATGAGATTAGTCAAGGAATCATTAATTATCAGTTCCACTTTGAATGTATTGGCAGTAAATCAAGTGTGCAGGTTGCTTAAAAATTAATATTAATTACTAGCTGATAAATGTTTAATTTATGTCCAGCACATCATATGTTATATTATTTGTAACTACTATCTTCCATTTTTTGAATCACAGCTTTGGCCTGAAATTGCATTAAAATGTCTAGATTTTAGGTGGTCAAACCTTCTTTAGTGGCTTTAATTTTTGTATTTGTATTCTATAGAGTAATGAATTATGGATGTAAAAATGTCTGAGCTAAGGTTCTGATACAATTACAAAGCAAACATCAGATTTCATACTCAATCTCTTTATGACATATCATTTCAATGATTTGTATGATTTAATACCAACCAACACAGCATTCCATTTCAGTAGTTTTATTGAAAAGTCATCAACAAAAATATTTTCTGTTCTTGAGAATGCTTCCTTCAAAATTTAACTCAAATGTATAACAGCTGAAATGTATGTCAGATTTTTAAGGGCTTGCGTTGCAAAGAATTGGAATGATTGGGGCTTGTCACTTGTGAGGAGGCCAGTAATTTTAGGATGGCTGCCATGGACCACCACTTGAGGGCGCCATTGCATAGAGGGGCTTCTCAGCAGCAGGGACATGAACACTGGCCCATATGTATTATACACTGAGGAATTTATTCATATATATATATTCTTGAACCTGATTGTACAGCTTTTTAAAAAGTACCGACATGCACTAACGTAAAACGTACATGTTATAATATACTAGTACCACTGTACAGAGTACATTCAACACGATTTCTTATACTCTTCTTGCTTATTATTACGTTGAATCAATATTTAACGCATCCTTTTAATTTTAATTTACTTAGCGCACCTGGTTCAAAAACATAACTTTGTATGAAAAAAACATAACATCTTACTAGATTACAAATACAACCAAAGACTTACATTTAACAGAAACAGAAAGCCCGACATTTAAGAGGGGCATTAAAAAAATTGAGTCATACTCATAACGCTCCTCTCCACGGAAATCTTTAGTAAAAGGCGAAAGATTTATACGATTTGAAGAGAAACAAGAGTGTACTACTTTTTTGGTTTTATCACAGACCGACCAGGTTGATGACAGCACCTTTTTAAATGCTGGTGCCTAATAATACTTACACAAAGATCCAAGACACATAATGTCCAAAATAAATAATCACACAGAGAAATACATACCCTACTTATTTTAGCATTAAGGTAAACAGCCTACCGTAGGATGTTTATTTTAAGCATAAATTAGCCTTTCATCGAATGACGCAATGCATGATGGGGTTCCGTTTTTGCTACGAATACATTTTTATAAAGGTGTCTCCATTATTTTCGTAAGTGACAACATTAATCTAAAATCTTAAATCAAAGGCACTAATGTGTTGTCAGATTATTATTTGACAACAGTCAAGGAATCTACAGTTAAATAAATCTTATATAATATTTCAGCAAGACCCGCCCCCTGCCACACACAAGACTTGTTCAAGAACCGCGGAAGCCTAAAGGGATCCTGACAGCTAGCTACATGCGACAGGCAGCACGTTGTTACCACACAAGATAAACGGATTATCTATCCCAATAGATAATCCGTTAATAGGTTAAAAAAGAAAGGCCTATTAGAAATGACCGAAAAATTGACAATGTAAATGATAATTTGGAAACAATGTGTAAAAAAATGAACCAAAACACTACTTTAAAAGTCACAGCAATGTCAACATTTTAATGCATAAAAGTATTTGTTTCTTCCACAATATAAACAAAAAATGTAGACGAAAATTTCAGAGGCAGAGAAAATATTATAGGCATATAGATCATGCAGGCTGCACCTTGGCCTTCAAACTCATAAAAGTTAAGCCTTTACTGATTCACATTGTAAGCCTATTTTAACGGTAATGCAGTAAGTTGCTTTTCTTTTAGGTTGGGTGAGCCTTGCCTCTCTGTCCTTCAGATGAGACTTTATTTGATTGCCTGATAAAATGGCAAAGATGGCTCACCCTCCATGACACACTTTTGTTTCCAGCTGTGGTTTCTGCTAGACCTCAGTTTTTCTCCTATTCCGATGCTTTTGTTTTTTTAGTACTCTGTGTACATCCCATGGCAAGACCAAACTTGATAATGTTATAAACAACTTCTGCCTTTTTGTGGGTGACCTTCCCCGTCTTCTTTGAAAGGACTCATTCAGCTTTGGTGCCTCTCTCAGGATGTTCTGGTTTTTCACCTAAAACAGAAATATAACCCATGTCAACAGCCACATAATTTATACATTTTCTATAACCAGATTGCAAATTAATGCAAAGGAAACTGAGATCATTGTAAGAGTTGCGACACGGTGGTTGACCGACGCTTTTTTGTGGGTGACCTTCCCAGTCTTCTTTGAAAGGAGTAGTCCAGCTTTGGTGCCCCTCTCAGGATTAAATCCTAATAAAGCGCCTGAGAAAAATAAATTAAGCCAAGTTAAGTTTTACAGCTTGAAATGTTCTGCAAAATGGAGGCCCCAATCACAGGCAGGCAGCGTTAGAGTTCTGTATTTTTAATAAAACTTACTGAGGTACAGGTCCGGAAACAGGTTCAGGTAGATGAGCAGATTACTGACAGGTGTGAGTGATAATGAGCAGAAGGAAGGCAGGTGAGTAAACTGACTGAGTGAGAGAGCTGAGTGTAAACGTATTCATACAAAACCATTAACTGAATTGAATGTTAGGTACCTCTGAATGAATTCCATCGTGCATACAGCTTCAGCTTGGTACTCCAAATTGAAATTGTAGTACAGCAAGCAGCAAGTCCAGATAGAAAAGCTGGGTGGATGCCCTTCAGACACACAGGCAGGCAGGGGTAGAGTTCTGTATTTTTAATAAAACTTACTGAGGTACAGGTCCGGAAACAGGTTCAGGTAGATGAGAAGATTACTGACAGGTTTGAGTGATAATGAGCAGAAGGAAGGCAGGTGAGTAAACTGACTGAGTGAGAGAGCTGAGTGTAAAGTGGGATGAAATGTAATAGTGGCAGGAAACTAATGTGAAATGTCAAAATAAAACAGGAAGTGGTGAATTGGACCAGAGTCTGACAGAGTTCGTGACAAAGTGGGCATAATGGGCGGGCTCTAAGATGATCGATGATACAAGGGTTTCTATTAGTTGGTTAAGCTTGGCTCGAGAGCATTCCTACACCTATCATGCTTACTGTCAAGACTGGACAGGAGATAAACTGGTAATGATAATAGGCTTTTGAAATTGCAGAATTTTGTAACTTTCAAATCTTTTTAACTTGCAAATCTTTTAACTCACAAGCAAAGTATTTTAATCTGCAAAAGTTTTTGACTTGTAAAAAAATTCTCAAAGCTGTTTTTTGTTTGAAAAAAAATATATTTTTTAATGCAAGTAGCAAAGATTTGCTCTCAAATATGTTTTATTTGATTGCATATTAAAGACTCAGCTTTACCTTCATATTCTTCTAAAATAAAATCATTTAAATGTTGATCAAGAATTGGTCTGGACAGAAACTTTATTCAACATGTGTATATAATGTGTATTATGAAATTGTTGGTCCCATTTATATAAATTACTTAGTCATTTTTTCAGTCATCACCTACACCTCACCCAACCAAAACTTTGATTCAATTTCAGAACACAGAGATATTTTCAATATTCTCTCATGATTCTGATTTGAAGCACAAATGTGCTTGCATGATGGGCAAGAATAAACCTCAGGGGTCCTGGCATGTTCAGCAGAAAAAAAATTGCTCTTCTTCAGCTTTCGTCAGTGCAGCCTTGAGTTCTTTGTTTTCATTTTTCATATTGCAAAGTTCAGCCTTAGTGCTGGCTGTCAGTTGTTCCAGCTCCTCAAAGAAAGAGCTTTCCTGCTTCCCCAGCCTGGCTGTTTGGGAGACCACGACTAACTTTGTTAGCTCAAGTTGCTTTTGAAGAGCCTCATTCTGTTCCTTCAGGAATCTGAGTTGCACATGCTGTGTGCTGTCAGCCTGATGCTCTGTATTCTGAACTCTGATTGTTCATCATTGTTTTTACAAGCTCCTGTTTACTCTGTGAAGGGTTCATTTTAACCTGAGCTTATCCCACCAGCGTTTGCAGGTGACATGTGTTTCCCTGAATCTGCTCATTGTCATTTAGGTACCCATCCAGCAAAACATTTTGGCTATCTATATGGATTCCACCCTCAGGTTTAAGTTGGGTGAGCCTTGCCTCTCTGTCCTTCAGATGAGACTTTATTTGATTGCCTGATAAAATGGCAAAGATGGCTCACCCTCCATGACACACTTTTGTTTCCAGCTGTGGTTTCTGCTGGACCTTAGTTTTTCTCCTGTTCCGACGCTTTTGTTTTTTAGTACTCATCATTTGCATTCCAAATGATTGAATGTTTTCCCTTGATCTAGTGGTTGCTATTGGAACCTCCCCACCCCAACACAAATTAGTGATGTGAAAGAGTTAAATTATGATAATGTGTTTACAATTGTACAGTTTGAAATTTTTTAAATGGTGTTTTATTTTCACCACGGCTAAATAAAGACAATGGTGGATGAAGGTTTCAGGTCCTACTTAATTAAATGTACAAATACAACACTGTAAAAATACTCCATTACAAGTAAAAGCCTTTTGCTGACAATATTACTTTAGATTAAAAAAAGACTCAAATATAAAATGGAAAAAACCCTCCCTCAATGCGTTCCATCACCACAAGAGAAAGACAGTCCTGTCACGATCGGTGAGTAAAGCTGCCGATAATGTCGTGGGCAAACTCAATTATAGGGCCAGACAAGTAAAAGCAGAACACAGACTCTTTAATAAGAGCACTGGTAACAAACAAACTGTACAAAATGCAGGAGTCGAATTCAACATGTAACTCTCTCATGTCAATGATCCAGTCCAGGATCAGAGCCAGTAAACTCACACATCCAAGGTATCCACAAGAAGAACGGCCAGTAAGGGAAGTCCAAAGGTTGAAGCACAGAATACAAATGGTACCAGAAGGGTTAGGCAATAATCAGTGGTCGTAAGGCAATCCGAAGTCAGAGCTAGAATAACAGGCACAAGAAAAACCCACTGGAAAGTCTGAACATGGGCTAGAACAATCTGGCAGCTTCCTGGTGGGAGGAAGCTGCCTATAAAGGGGTAGAAACATGTGCAAACAATTGTCACTGATTGGGGTAAAGAGTCCGTAGCTGAAGTGGGACTGTAACAGGAAGTGGTGTCAGAATAAAAGCATGATACCGGAAGCAGAGAAAATGGAATCATGACACAAACCATCACCACACATTCCATCAAACCAATCAAACCACACAGAGAAATAACAGAATATTGTGAAAAAAAAAACTCCGGTGTTCTAAAACTTTTGATTGTTAGTGTCTCAGTGTTGCTTTGGTGTTTCTGGGTTCGTTCTCTGATACAGTCTTATTATTTTGCTGTCATGTAGTTTTTTTTCCACATTTTCATTTCCAGGGTTAAGTCATGGTTTGCTTAGAAAATGACCTCAGTTTTCACATCTCTCTGAACATAGTAGTTGGGGTATTTGTTGTAGTCTTCAGTGACAAATCCATATGCGCTCACCTAAGAATGATAACAAGAGAGAAGAGGGAGGGTTTGGGGTTGAATCACACAAAAGAAGAATTTGAAATATACAATTAAAAAAGAATTTTTAGAAATTGTGTTGCCCTCTACAGAGGGCTTTGGTGTCTTTGAGCTCACTATTTTGGTTTACTGGCCCTTATCTTGTTGCACTGTGCTGTTGCAGTGACAGTCCCACGTTAGTACAGAATTGTTCACGTTATTTACTTTTTATTTATTGTTAATATAAAATATTTATTAGAGCAGCTTTAAAAGTTTCCAATTTCCTGATGGACCTAGACATTTCTTAGCAACCCACACCAAGCCAAATTAATGTTGGGTCAAACCACTACCAAAGTTATAGAACAGGTCTTCCTCACTGGGGTCACGTGCCTCGCTGTGTCATATTTTGAGCTATGGTATCAAACATATGGGAGGAATAGTTTGGCAAGATTCAAAAGAAGGAAGAAGAACTATCAGCACATGTCCATTTCTCAGCAACCACATAGTGATTATGAATTTCTGTCTCGCCACACTTGGTGTCGCATACAGACACATACAAACACCTACAAACACCTACCACTGTAGTTGTACTCCATAAAACCAAAGGGATTATTAAAATGTGAAAGTCGGTTCCACTCGTTCATGTTGATACTGTCTTTGTGCAGATACAAGCGTATGTTGGGAAGGAAAACCTTCTTGAAGCTCTCATCCTCAGTGTTTAGCAGAGACTGGGCACAAGTCTGAGAATGTATGATAAATGATTATTATTATAAAACAACAGTGTCATTTAGACCACTTCTACTGACTTAGTGCTCACATACATGAAGAACTATCAGGCATAATCAAGTGGCAGAGAACCAAAGAGGTCAGTCAAACAGGTTAGGAAATGACAGAGTTCATCATTAATGAAATGTGCTATAATAGACTGTAAAGAAAGATGGTGGTACTGTGTGAAAGTGTGAATGAGAAACACAAACAAACTCCACACAGGTCACACCAAAAGTACAAAACACTGCACACAAATGTGCAGGCATCAGCCATGTTGACCCACTCCCATAAAGATAATATGTTTGTTGTTCCTGTCATATTATGCTTACATTTGGTCTCAGTGGAGCATCCTGGTTATAAACATCTTCAAAATCCCACTGAGGAAGTTTCTTGAAGGATTTTTT